AAATTATATCCATTATTATTATTATTATTATTATTATTATTATTAGTATTATTATTATTATTATTATTATTATTATTATTATTATTATTATTAGAACATTAAGATCTCAATTACCATAAAAACGCAATAAACAATTAAAGTTTCATTGATTAAACTACTTTTTTCTCTATTTCTTTTGATGTTATATTACAAATGAAGAAAAAAAATATTCGAACAATGTATTCTGGACAGGGTTTAAAACAGTCATTATGCGACATCCTTTGAAGGTTCCAGTTGTGAGATACACAGTACAACCAACGACAACTGCAACATCCTGTTTGAGCTCACGAAAAGCAACGACCAATAACGAGACGAAGACAACACCAACCCCAACCCAAAGTCCAACTACATCACGGTATCTTTCGTTTCCTATAAAGAGTCCTACGGTAGGACGAGCACATAAAAAGCATGTTCAATTTCCGGACACCCCAACATCAACGTCTACCTCAACGCCAACGGCAATACCGATGTCTATGGAAAAATCAGGTGAGTGCATCTTCTCCTATCCTTTGATCAATTTACTACCAGTAAACACCAACTGACAATATAAAGGTCTAACTGTATAAAAATATCTAGACATGGATTCATATTGTTATTATTATATAAATGATGTCACTTTTTGAATAAAACTACTCTGATCGATAATTAATCCTTTCTTTCGATTAATCAGTTTTCGCGAGTCATTTTCGAGTAAATCATTTGCCTGACAGCTTTACACATCAATCATAAATCCACTGTGCGATGCATACAATTACAAAATTAACAGACATACAATTTCTGTAAAATTTTCTAATTCTAATTAGATCATATTTTTTGTATAAATATAACATTACAATTAATCCTTGATTAAGATATATATATATATATATATATATATATATATGCAGTTATGATAACTACTACTGACAGTACTAATTAATATATCGAGAGATTGAGAAATAAATACTATCTGAAAATATTACTCAATTGTTTAAAACTTACGATATTAGGCATGACATGAAAAAAAAAATATACAAACATCGTTCGAACTCTATAAATATTATTTATTAATAATGATAAATGTGTTTTAATGATCAATTAAAAAGAAACGAGACTTTTTCACATCTCTCGGAAATGTTTGATTTTACATACTACTCACTCGTAAATGAAATTAAAAAGAAATTTTGCTTAATATTAATGACCAATTTCATTTTCAGAGAATATAAATTCTATATAATAAATGATTAAATATAAAATATTCTCCAATTAATAAAGTTATATATATCAATTTACAAAGTTACACGAGTATATTTTCCATTCCGTACAATCATAAAATAAATCATATAACATTTGGATGTTTGATCATTTAAAGATGTGTGCTAGTTACTTAAAGATCAAAGGAGAGAGAGAGAGAGAGAGAGAGAGAGAGA